TAAATGCTGTAAAATACCCTGTAGTGAAAATTTAATTAATAAATCAACATAAAGAATATACATATTTGAGAACTAAAATAAATTAGTTTTTAGCTCCTATGAGTAGCTCTGGGAGTAGGTCTAAGTATTTTTGTAAATTATTAATATTATTAGATATTATTACTATATTTGCGGTCAATTATTAATATTATTATTATTATTAATGGCTCTGATGGGAGGCTCTAAAACATTGATTCGGCACCAGTTTTGAACGACGAACTTGCAGGGAATGTTATAAACCATTTTCGTGAAATTTGAAATAAAAATTTCCAATAACGTGGCGACTACCAACTATGGGGACTTTCAAAGGCCTAGCATTTCGCAGTACGTATTACCATGTCATGGATAACATCAACAATAAATCTAAATTGCTAACGAGCACAAACATTTTTAAAAAGAAAAAAACACGAAATGTTTATATTGAAAACAAGTCCAAGTATTAAATATCTATTTTTTTTAAAGAATTGGAACCTCTGGATGGCCAGAAATGACACTCTCAAGACTGTGACAGGCATGTCACATTTTTATTTTTTTATTCCGACGACCTGTCAAATTGGGGGGGGGGGCCTGATGTGGTTTGGGATGTATGTAATTTTGTAATCTAATACACTGTGATTGTGTAAGTGACAATTAAGTACAATTCAATTGGTCAATTTAAAAAAAAAAAGATTTTTTATTGGTTGAGAATCTATGCTGTAGCCAATAAATAAAAGCCTTTTGTTTTGAAATGCCATATAAACAACATGTCTAAAAGTCGAGGTGTTATTTATCTCTTGTTTATTTGGGAATAATCATCTATTTTATGGAATAAATACAGAGTTCCTTCATTATATTAAATTTTTGGTTTGTTTATTTAGTTATGACATATGTAATCAGAAACTACAGTTACACCTTATTTTACGGGAACCTTAATTTGTTTATTTGTTATTTCATTTGTTTTATGAAATGACAATAATAATAATAATAAAAATAATAATAATAATAATAATATTGGCAATAAATGGTTACAATACTGTAACTTACAAAGCAACTTTAAAAAAATAGTAGCATTGCATGCGTTAAAAAAGATGCTGTTAAATTAGTATTAGAAACTTTTTAGTAGGAATACATATATACAGTACAGTAAAATGTACAATAGTCAGTGAGTTCGTCAAACAAGGTTTAAAAAAAGTCTCGCCTTGGGTAGCATCTTTTAAAGAAAATAATTAATTTCATTTTTAAAAACAAAAGTTACTGATTGATTAAATAATTCTATTTTAAATAAGAAATGATTATGCGCAGTTAAGGCAACATAGGACAACATTTAAAAGATCATTATATTAGTGCTACTGAAACTGTTTTTTTATCTAAGTGCAAATCCGAGTTTGATTGCTTAATTAAACAAATGCTTTGGATCAAAGAACTGAAACCTACACTTAACAAACAAACTGATTCAGTCAAAGCCAAACTGTTTACCTAGTTAATCTGCTAAGAAGGGCTAATTATTGTTTAGCTTCACTGTGGCTCCACACAGTAGGCCCTATTGATATGTAAATTAATTACTTACTTCCTGTCACTGCTTGGTATTTTTGTTTTTAGTTTTTTCAATTTACTTGATCTTCAGAATGGTTCCATGATGGACCCGAAACGTCGATTTCTTGTCATTAAATTTTGTTTTGAGATTATGTTCTTAATTGATTTAATAAATAAAAGCCACAAATAATAATTTGATTTACTAAATTTCATTATGTAAAAATAGTTATGCTTTAACATAGATTAAAAATATGTTACGCCTTACTTATTTTTAATCTATGGTCTTTTTAATTAATTTTCTTTTTTATTGGAAATTCCGTAGTGCAGAGTAAATTTATCAAAACCCATTAGGTTTACAGTAATTTGAAAAAAAAATTTAGTTTATACAGAAAAAGTATCTAAAATGATCTCAATTTCCAAAGTTAAAGCAAAAGATCTAATCTAAACACACAATATTAGGCAGGATGTATTTGTTTGGAAAAGAACCCACTCTTTTGTGAAATTAAGAGGGTATCTTTGAATATTATATCATTGAATGTTAATTCTTGCAAAAAGTAAAATGTAAATGGCAATTTGTTTGATGTTATATTCCTTTTAATAACTAAATTATTTAAGATAAAAAAATGCATATATTGAATCAAGAAAATCAGTTTTAATACAGAATTTGATTATTGGGGCCATTTTTACCTACCTGTCATATGGGGCCATTTTTACCGGGGCCATTTTTTCCGGGGCCTTTATTTCCGGGACCATTTTTTCCGGGGCCATTCTTACCGTACACCGGTCAACTCGGCCCCAAGTCAACTCGGCCCCAGTCAACTCGGTCCCAAGTCAACTCGTCGGCCCCAAATCAACTCGGCCCCAAGTCAACTCGGCCCCAAGTCAAATCGGCCCCAAGTTAACTCGGCCCCAAGTCAACTCGTCCCCCTGTCAACTCGGCCCCAAGTCAACTCGGCCCCATGTCAACTCGGTCCCAAGTCAACTCGGCTCCAAGTCAACTTGGCCCCCAAGTAGTCAAACCGGCCAGTGTATTTACTGAATATTTGCCAAAAGATAATTGAATGCAAAGCAAAAATTAAAGTGTTTTATATCGTTGCCTTTGTTATTTCTTTTCATTTACATTCACTTACAATGATTAAAACAGCATTGATAAAAATAATATAATTAACAATATAAAAAGGTATAATATAAATAATAATTATAATAACAATATGATGACAATAATAACGAGATAATCTTGACAATGCTTAATGAGTTATAGACATATACTAATGGTTATTAATATAAATTAATAACCATTAACCATTATAACCATTAAATATACTACTATATAATATATATTAAATTATTATATATATTATATATAGGCCTATATAATGTGTATATAAACACCGTATATATATGTATATATATATAATGTATACATCATGATATAATAGATAAAATCGAAACCGTCTTCATGTATCTGAAATAATAAGAAACGAATACCATATGTATGGACTTTAGAAACACTTTATTGGAGAAAACAAATATTTCAACCTATCTTTAGGTATATTTATTATATACGTACATACATACATGTACTGTATGTATATATATATATA